GACTCGATCCAGGGACTCCAGGATCATGACCTGAGCCGAAGGCAGTTGCTTAACCAACTGAGCCACCCAGGCGCCCCCATCATAATTATTATTAAACAAGTTTATATAAAGTAACCAATTAAAGTAGCTTATATAAAGATAAAATTGTGATGTTTTAATAGTTTAAAAATGTGTATATTTATAGATATGTGTGATTTTTAAAAAATCTTAGTTGTTAGAAGTAGGCACACATGTGAGTAATAGATGGTGAAAACTGATATAGCAATAGTACTTTGGATATTATATATTATTAGCTGATTTTCTGTTTTAGCTGAATTCAAATATGTAGAAGTTCAACTGGCATATTAGGTTAGAGTAACACTGAAATACTTAATCTAAAAGAAAAGATTACTGTACTTAAAACTTTAATGTTGTTAGTTTACAAGTCATCTAATAAATCATATCTATTTTGGATGATTATTTCCAGTTACTTAATGGAACTTATCTTAAAATTATTTGAAATCTTAAAATTTTTGACACCATTTTTGCTTTTACCATAACTTTATTTGTATTTTTTTTCTTCTCGGTACGTATATAAAATGCCTTAATGTTTTCTTCACTTATTCCTAAGGTCACTTATGAAGCACATAAGGAATACCTAGCCAAAATGTATGAAGAATATCAGAGACAAGAGGAGGAAAACATTAAAAAGGGAAAAAAAGGGAATGTGAGCACTATCTCTGGTCTTTCATCACAGACTACAGGAGCAAAAGGTGGAATGGAAATTCGAGAGATAGAAGATCTTTCACAAAGCCAGAGTCCAGAAAGTGAGACAGATTACCCTGTCAGCACAGATACTAGAGACTTGCTCATGTCAACAAAAGTGTCAGATGATATTCTTGGAAATTCAGATAGACCGGGAAGTGGTGTACATGTGGAAGTGCATGATCTTTTAGTTGATATAAAAGCAGAGAAAGTAGAAGCAACAGAAGTAAAGCTTGATGATATGGATTTATCACCAGAGACTTTAGTAGGTGGAGAGAATGGTGCCCTTGTGGAGGTTGAATCTTTGTTGGATAATGTATATAGTGCTGCTGTTGAGAAACTCCAGAACAATGTACATGGAAGTGTTGGTATCATTAAAAAAAATGAAGAAAAGGATAACGGTCCATTGATAACATTAGCAGATGAGAAAGATGAACTTCCTAATAGTAGTACGTCATTTCTCTTTGATAAAATACCCAAACAGGAGGAGAAACTTCTTCCTGAACTTTCTAGCAATCACATTATTCCAAATATCCAGGATACACAAGTACATCTTGGTGTTAGTGATGATCTTGGATTGCTTGCTCACATGACTGGTAGTGTAGACTTGAGTTGTACATCAAGTATAATAGAAGAAAAAGAGTTCAAAATCCATACAACTTCAGATGGAATGAGCAGTATTTCTGAAAGAGACTTAGCGTCATCCTCTAAAGGGTTAGAGTATGCTGAAATGACCGCTACAACTCTGGAAACTGAGTCATCTGGTAGCAAAATTGTACCAAATATTGATGCAGGAAGTATAATTTCAGACACTGAGAGATCTGACGATGGCAAAGAATCAGGAAAGGAAATTCGAAAAATCCAGACCACTGCTACAACGCAAGTGAGTTACCCTACATGAGTTCTAAAAATGCTTCAAACAGATAATGAGTTGATAGCACCACAGCAGTTAAGAGTCATTTCTTACCAGCTACACCATGTTTATACTTAATTATGGTGCTATAGTAATTTATGGAATCAAATAGTGTGGTAGTATACATAAGAGACATTTAAAATACCTGAATTGTATTTCCAACTCTGCCACAATTTGTCTGTGGAACTTAGCTGAACCTCTTTGGGCCTTGAATTTCCTTAGACAGTACAAGAGGTTGTACTCGATTAAAATGTGACCTTTACGGGCTCTACCCATTCTAATAGGTTATGACTCTGTGACTAAATTTACACATTTTGTACTCAAGATCTTCATTCTGAATACTTGATTAATTTTAACCTTTTAAAGCTTCAGGCCCAACCTTGTTCTGTGAATTATAGAAAAGAGGACTTAGAGCCCAGATTGAACAGATAAATGAAATGAAGGGTAAGGGGAAAGGGAATTGTTATTTATCAAGTGCCTACTGTGTTCCAGGCACTGTGCTGCATGTTTTCAGATTTAATCCTCACAATCACCCTGTGAGGTAGGTAATATGGCTGAGAAAATGTGCAGTTATTAGCAGTGAGAATTTTCTTTACAACCACTTGGATAGGAATCTGTTATGAGGAAATTAAAGAGTCTTAGGCCTGGCGGTGAGGAAACGTTAGTGCTGCAGTTCTGGCCTCACCAGAATAAAGCTAAAAATAGATGCTCTTTTCTGATATGAATTTTAATTGTGGAGCTTTGAGTTTTAAGACTACTTCCTTGTTTTCTAGGCTAAATTACCTTATGGTTAGGAGTTGAAAAATAATTTTACACTTAATGATTTGTTTTTTGGTGTTTCTCCAGGTTTTCCACTCACGTTTTAATGTCCTCAAAGATAAAATTAACATGTTTCCATTAGAATTATATTATAAAAAGTAAACCATACCTTTCTGGTGTCTTTGTACTCTAGTAACAATATTAATAATATATTCTGTGTTTGGAAAATAAAAACAGAAACAAAAAGTATCTTCTGTGTATGGGAAAGGTATTTTTATTTTTTCTCTATTAACTGCCAGTTTCCACTTTTTGTGGCAGTTGCACCACAGTGATAACTGGAAGGGAGTGGAGATACTGAATTAGGTAAAGACTTAAAAGAAAGGAAAGCATGATGTCTTGTTTTTATTTATTTAAAGATTTTTATTTATTTATTTGACAGAGAGATAGGGAGAGCGGGAACACAAATGGGGGAGTGGGAGAGGGAGAAACAGGCTTCCCGCTGAGCAGGGAGCCCAATGTGGGGCCCAATCCCAGGACCCTGGGATCATGACCTGAGCCGAAGGCAGACGCTTAGCGACTGAGCCTCCCAGGCGCCCCAGCATGGTGCATTGTTTATTGAACATGGTAATCACTGGGCTTGCCTGGTTTTCACTTAGAGTTTGTAGGTACTTTCTGGTTTTCTAACTTATCAAATAAATGTACTGTTTTTCTAAATTGAAGTATTGTGAGTGAAATAGACTTTGAGTTAACCTGAATCTGTTCAAGTAATATTTTTTAATCTTGTGTTTCCAATTATAGTTAGTTGATGATATATATCCAGTACACTTCAATGTGAGTTATATGCTCACTTTCCTAAGGAAGAAATGTGGTCTAATATGAAGACTCCATAAACAGGGGTAAAGAGGACTTGGTTTTCAGTGTGAACTTTGGTGTTAGACCTGAGGTATTTGATTACCTTGCATAGTTTTTGAAACAGCAAAATAAAAGTAATAACAGTAGCCTCTTCAGCTCAAAAAGGTTTCTGTCCAGGGAATCACCAGATGAATAATACATGTAAGATACATAACCTACCAAAGTCATATGCAAAGCTTTACTCACTCACTTGATTATACTTTCTGTTTTCTTTTTGAAAATTTTGAAAATTTCTTTTGCAGTCTACAAAAGTTCACCTTTTCTTTCTCTAGGCTGTTCAGGGTCGGTCTATTACACAGCAAGACAGAGATCTCCGCGTCGATTTAGGATTTCGAGGAATGCCGATGACTGAGGAACAGCGGCGCCAGTTCAGCCCAGGCCCACGCACTACAATGTTCCGTATTCCTGAGTTTAAATGGTCTCCAATGCACCAGCGACTTCTCACTGATTTACTATTTGCATTAGAAACAGATGTACATGTTTGGAGGAGGTAGAAATATTTCTTTTCTTAAATAAGGCAACTTTCACTGAAGAAAATGAGTATTTTAAATTAGTGACATCAGTTGATCCATAAGGGAATTATATCATTGAATAATCTCACAAGTTGAATTTACTAAAAGTAATCCAACATTGAAATTTTATATAGAAACTTGAATATTTTCACACAGGTTATAAGGCCTAGGGCTCAAGTCAAAAGGTGTCCAAGAATTTAGGCTTAAGACAATTAAAAAGCAAAATTTTGCCTATTCTATATATAAAAGAGATTTAGCAACAACAATAAAAAGTTTCAGTTTGGGTTCAAAGCTGTTTCCACATTTTTATTCTTCTGTTAAAATTAATACCATATACTAAATATATTCATGGTAATAAGATTATAACATATAGTGTTAAAATAGAATTTAAAATCACCTTACAACATCTATTTTTAGAGCCTTTACCCTTAAAGTAGTTAGTATCAGCTCATATATAATCACTTAAAGAAAACAGTCTACATAAATTAAATCATCACTTAAGGAAAACAAAGTCTGCATAAATTAAATCATTACCTTGCCTCACTTTCAGTTAATTTTCTAATAGCAAATATGCAACAAATTAAGCAGTTATGAGAGTACGTCATTTATGTGTGCTTGCACATAAATTAGGAAGTTGATGGCTGTGACAGAGAACCCCACTGTCATTGACTTAAACAATCAGTGGCATGGTCTTCTCTGGACTGAAGGAGACTTCGCCTAATTTTCCTTCTGAGATTCAAGGTGGCTGATTCAGCTCCCAGCACCAGTTCAACATAGGAAACTTCCCCAAACTAGAAGGCAGGGGCTCTTCTTCCTCATTCATCCTTTTCTTCATTCCTCCTCTTCCTTTTTTCCCTCTCCTTCCTCCTCCTCTCTCTCCTCTTTTTTCGTCTCCCCATTGTTTCTTCCTCCTCCTCCTCTACTTTTTCCCTTTCCCATTCCTTACCCTCCCCTCCTTTCTTCTTTTCTAAAAGAAGCCCCTCAAGAAATCTCCCCCTTACCTCTTATGTGCCAGCAGTCAATCACCAGCAAAGGGGAATGGGATTATTAATAATGACTCTCCTATTTAGAGCAATACTGGTTAATAACCTAGTAGCTGGAATAAAGCCAACCTTTCCTATACCTGATCTAGCTCAACAATAGAACAAAATCTAGATTGTGTTAGCAGGGAAGAAGGAATAACTATTATGGAAAACAGTCAATGTCTGCTACAGAAAGTTTTTACTTCTAATTTTATTTGATCAGTTTGTCCTTAGGCTACTCATGTGATAGAAACAATGGTCTTTCCATTGCTAGTGTTGTTATTTGCTAAATTACCTAGGGATGCTAAATAAGGAAACTGGAATACAGTGAAATACATTACTGTTAACATGACTATCAATGGAGATATATAGTGTAACTTATTAATTACAATTATTCGTAGTCCCCAAATGAGAGATACTCAGCTTTCCTTCCTTTAACATATGATGGAAACATAACATATACATAGATACCATGTGTCTCTGTTCTCTTTCACGAGCTGTCATAAAATTCCCCAAACAGAATTTTACGTAATTTAATTTTTTAAAAGATTTTATTTTTATTTGAGAGAGAGAGCACGTGCACAAGCAGGAAAGGGGAGAGGGGCAGAGGGAGAGGGAGAGGAAGAAGCAGATTCCCTACTGAGCAGGGAGCCTGATGCAGGGCCCATCCCAGGACCCTGAGATCATAACCTGAGCTGAAGGCAGATGCTTAACCGACTGAGCCATCCAGGTGATCCTAATTTAATTTTTTAAAAGATAGCACTTACTTTTAGGATTGGGCAAACATCTTGACATCTAAGATGTCATAGATGATAGTTTACATTTGTAAAGAGTGAGAATCATTGACTTAAAATTGATCATGCTAAAGATTGAGTATCAGCTAAAGAAGAACTGATATCTGGCCTTCCATTCAGTTGCTGATGCTTTTTCTTCAGAGAATTTATCCTTAACCAAACAGTAGATAATCATGTTCTCTCATCTTGCCACCGTCATGTGATATGAAAAGAAGCATGACTAATTCTTTTTGCTATCAGTAAGATACATCATGAGCAATGGAAGGTCTTTTTCTTATTGTAAATATTGTGAACATTACTTAACTTCACACACAGAAGAAAGTGGCCACAGCCCTCCTAGTGAACTAATGCTGAGTCCTTGGAGTGAATGATGCCTCAGTTGGTTTCACTGTGTTCTTGACTGGATCGGTTACAATGTTTAAGTCCTATAGCACTTTGCCTTGTTTCCGACATTGGAGTAGCCACTGCATACCAGATACCATTGAATTCCTATAAAAATTGGATGAGTTTTGGGCGCCTGGGTGGCTCAGTTGGTTAAGAGACTGCCTTCGGCTCAGGTCATGATCCTGGAGTCCCGGGATCGAGTCCCGCATCAGACTCCCTGCTCAGCGGGGAGTCTGCTTCTCCCTCTGACCC